TTTTTTGAAAAAGTAATTTTTCAAACAAAACCTGGTGTGCTCATGTATCGTCTTCAAATTCATAAAACTATTCTACCATTTCCTAAATTTATTTTCCTGAGTAGCAAATTGAAAAATATACTAATACATTCTTGTAGTCTTCGATTAAAAAAGGATGTTATTCGAGAAGCTTCTTTTCAAATTTCATAAGATTATCCTACCTTATTCCAATTCATCAACTAATTTTCTCCCAAACAAACCCTTAAGCTTAGTTTGGTGAGGGTTGGTGGCGGGTTGTATCAAGTTGGGATAATTGAATAATGAAGGCAAGAATTGGGAGATGAAGAAAAACTTAAACCCCTTTGTTTGGTAGGAAGGAAAGATATCAAAAATTAAAGCTTGGAGACACATCAACTACTCTCATTATGTGGATACGTAACTGTATGGTCTTTACACCTAAACGTGAAGAATTGGTCAACAAAGAGAAGAAATCGAACCAATCAAAGTCATATAGAGGGATTAATAAAGTAAATAAAACTGGTTCTAGAATGATGTGCCTTCTTTTTGATAATATCGTTTGAAAGATGTGACATGAAGAGAATTAAATTATACACTCATCAATTTGTATAGTCGTTTGGTTTAAGGATTATGGTTATGTTACATGATTAATATGTCTCTATGCGCGTGATTGAAACATTTTATATAAATATTCATTGTTTGCATGATAGATACAAAAGATATGCATATTGAGTGATGAAAAGCACTAATTACTTTCCTCAAATAATTTCATTACCTGTCACTTAGTCCCCTTTTGGCCCTCATTTTGTGAAAATAAAAATGGATATAATAATATTTTTTGATAAATGAGTAATTGAAAAAGAAGGAAAATTTTTTATTTGCGTGTAATATTATTTTATGAAAGATTATGTGATTGAAAATAAAAGAAAAAAATAGAATGTGATGGAATAAAAATTAATAGGGATCAAACGAGGGCTTAATCACCAAGTAAGAATGTTGATTAAATGAGGGTCGAGACTATGCCTATGTTAGAATAATTCTGTAAGTTATTTAGCTCTCATTTGTCCCTCATTAAATTTCATTTCATTATATTCTATTTTTTTCTCTCTTATTTTCAACCACACAATCTTTCATAAAATAATATTACACGTAAATCGGATTTTTTTTTCTTTTTTAATCACTCATTTTTCAAAAAAATACTATTTCACTAATTTTTATTTTCAAGAAATGGGGGGCCAAACAGGGGGTTAAAATCTTTCTCTAATTCAAAAGGTAGTCCTTGGTTCCACGAAATGAAATATTATTGTGGTCGGAAACATATGAAATAAAATTTCTTAACAAATCCTAATTAATTTAATGACACTCGTCCAGCTCTACTGGCAACTCTGACGTGGGTCCAACTGTCTCATTAGATATGGTACATCTTCATGATTTGACATGTTCTGTTGCACGCGTGAGTGAATATTATCGATTCATTCTATTTATGTATAGGTCCGAACTCCGAATGGTTGCTTAGGTTGTTTTGTCAACGAAATAAAAAAGGGTCGACGAATAGGTTGTTTTGTCAACGAAATATTTGACATGTTTCGTCGTCATAGGTTGTTTTACACCTAAACAGTAAAATAAAAAGGAGGAGTAATAATATCGACATAAAAATTTAAGTGATTTGACATGTTATAGAGGGCGTTTGATAGGTATTTTTATATAAAAATGTATTTTAAAGTAGTAAATTGATGTGAAATATGTAGTTGAAAAATAATGAAATTTTTTTGAATTGTGTATGATATTATTTTAATAAATAATGCGTGATTGAAAAGAAAACAGAGAAAAATACATTTTGAAGAAAATGACTATCAAACGAGGCCTTTGAAATTGGCGTTTAACTTCCATTAAATTCTATTTTATTTTTTCTTTTCTATTTTGAATCGCACAATCTTTCATAAAATTATATTTGCAATAAGTTGAAAAATTTTCTTTCTTTTTTAACCACTCATTTTTTTTAAAAAAATTACCATTTCACTTATTTTCATTTCAAAAAATGAGGGCCAAACGGGTAATAAAAAAAATAAACAATAATATTCCTACCTGTCGTACATTTACTGGATCAAAGAATGTATAGGTAGGATAGAATTTTGAAAAACGTCAAATTGAAATTACAACCTATTTAATTCAAGAATTTTACTAAGTGTACAGGAATTCTAATATAGGCACTCACAGCAGATGGGTCCCGCATGGGACCTGGCTGTAATACCCAAAATAAATAAATAAATAAATAGTAAATATATTATGAGGCATAAAATGTATGAAATTAAATTTTAATATTATTTTGGATATATATTGAATTATTTGATAAAATGTAGTTTAAATAAATTAGTATTTTAACATTTTTACATTAGAATCTTATCCTCATGTAATTAGGATTTTATGTGGTAAATTTTTTTGTTAAGAGTTCTATTTGAATTCAAATTAAGAGATTTTATTAGAAGTCTAAATAGATAACTCATCCTAATCTAATGACCATTATTTAATAATCTTGAGCCTTGCACTTATTTAATACTAAATTACAGAAAGAAAAAAACGTGAGAGAGAGAGAAAGAAAGAAACAGAGGAGATAGAGAGAGGAAAAAGACGTGAGAAAGAGAGAAAGAAAGAAACAGAGGAGAGAGGAAGAAAGTAGGAGAGAGAGAGAACAGAAGAGAGGGAAAGAGGGAGGCAGAAGAGAAAACGTAAAGAAGAAAGAAAAAAAAAATTCCGACACGTTCCAGATTTGTCTGCAAGAATTTTCAATCCTAAATAGTTTAAGTATACAAGAAATTTATCAAATAGGTATGAATTTATCTAAATGCTCAATGATTTTGTGTTTTCACTTTTTAATGTTTTAAGTTGAGTGTTTCATGTGCTATTATGTGATTCAAAATAAAGAAAAATATTGTGGAAAGTACCATAGAGTATTATTATGTAAATCTACATGAAAACCAGTTATAGGGCTAAATTTCCTAAGTGGAGATTGAGAATGATTTGACCTCAGTGAGAATGAGACGGTCAGGTTTCTATCCCACTAGAAAGTTATGGTATGTGCGTATTTTACTTACTTTTTATATTAAACTGTGAAAATACTGACATGGAATCCATACTGAGTGTATTCATATACTCATTCCATATTCTAAATTATTTTTGCAGATACTTGGTGGATCGAAGTTGGAAGTTGAGACTGCTGACAGAGTCCGTGTTGCTGGATCAAGAATTTAAGATTTTCCTTTTCATATTTAGTATTTAGTTAGAAAATATTTTTTTATTCAAATCAGAATTTATTTTTAAATCAATGTTGAATTTTAAAAAAATAAGCACCGGATTCATAGTACAACAATAAAATACATTAACTGATATTTTATGAGACAATAAAATAACTTGTTTTTATTCCGGAATGTTTTCTTCAAATTTTTTGTAACATAATGTGTCGACTAATTTTTATAATAGTTAAAGTGATAAATTGAGTAACCTTCGGAACATAGGTTTCGGGGCATTACAACATGGTATTAGAGCCCAATCAATCTTTCCTGCAGACTTTGTAAAATCAAAATTTTAGATTTCTTTATATGTTAAAATTAAATAAATTTTGATCCACACGACATCGGGACCGGCATGATCAACTTCAATGGATGGTCTAAGGTATGAATTTTTATTTTTTATTTTTTAATTTTGTATTTTAGAATTTATGTAGAAGAATGAAGCAAAGATTTTTATGTTATAAAATATTTCATCTTAATTAGACCAAAAAAAAAAAAAAAAACCCCAGTGGAATCAACAGAGTCGTGGGGAGTATTGCATTAGCATTTACCTGTTACTTTTTCTCGTTAAAGGACCTTACTGCAAACAATTCCTACAACTCATTGATTGTTAAGATAATTGTGACTGTGTTTGGATAAGTTTAAAATTTTGAGTCAGTTAAATAATTTTTATTCTAAGTACATGTGGCATTCCTATAATCATTAGTCATTCTTAACACCATTTTTGTGGATACTGTTCAGTTATTGAAGAAAGAGGAAATTGTGGTTAAAAACCAATTTAGACTAGATTGATGATTTGATTACGGTAGGAATCCTTCAAAAGTCACTCAAATTCTTGAGTCCTACTTTACGTATATATATATATAAAATAATAATAATAAATTGGTTGCTCCTATTATCAAATTGGTTTCGAGTTTATATTTATGGAAGATTTGCCGTAGCATGTCTACACGTGAATACATATTGTAATAACTCTTCTCAAGCCATTTTGTTGACAAGATTTAACTTCTCGAATATGTTGAATTTGGAGGAACTTAAATGATAAGTTTTAACCAATGGAAAATCCAACTTATTTGCGCTAAATTTCGTTAGAGAGATTATTTAAATTCAAAATAATCTCAATATGTTAACATATTCTTTCTTACATTATTAATGGTTGAGATCTAAGAGTCCAACTTCAACATTAGAACCTGTTAAATTTTTTTGGTGCCAAACTTGACGAGACCTATCCAAAAATGATTTAGAAGTTGGAATATTAGTAGACTTCTTTAACTGGATTATTGTTGTTTTTATTTTTATTGAACAACTTTAATAGATATTAGTGTTTGTCAGTGTGTGATCTCCTTTATTTTCTGTATTCCATTGATTGAGGACAAGGATTAATTAATTAGTGCATTTGATCTGGTTCTTCAACAAATATTAAACATGTCATATGAAAAGACAATAACATCGTAATATTCCCCTACTATCATGGGACTTAAATTCTTTTACTTATTAAGCTGTTGATTTCCATCCTAAATTTAATGTTGTTATTGGTGGTTGTGAAGTTTAATTGCATGAGTAATAAATACAATTTTATAATTTAATATTGTACTTATTGTGAATAATAGGAACATGTTGGTTGAATTGGCTATATGGTCTCTAATTTACGATCCCTATATTTAAGGCTTAGATGACAGCAAATTTAGCGCGAAATTACTGGCTGCTATGTGAGAGATGTCGCAGCAGCAACCACCTCAACAGCCATGTGGCAGGCCGGGAACATCTTCAATTATAGAACAATTTCGCAAGCTACACCCACCTGTGTTTGAAGGTGGCCCCGATCCACTGGCTACTGAAGAATGGCTTCGCCATCTCGAGCGTATCTTTAGATTTATGGAATGCACTGATGCACAAAAAATCCTTTGTGCAGTATTTATGATGGAAAAGGGAGCAAGCCATTGGTGGGAGATGACTACTAGATCCCGCACCGAAGAACAACAGTGTAACCTTACATGGGCACAGTTCAAAGAGATAGTACTTCAAAAGTACTTCCCAGTCACCTTAAGAGACAAGAAGGAAGCAGAGTTTCTTGAACTGAAGCAGGGAAACATGACGCTCACCGATTATGAGTGAAAATTTGAGGAGTTGTCTAGATTTGCCCCGCATTTGGTGGACACGGAGGAGAGACATGCTCGGCGCTTTGAGCGTGGACTGAGAATCGACATTAGAAAAGCGGTGGCAGTATTCCAATTAAGTACTTATCAGGGAGTTCTGGAGAAAGCTCAGGTATACACATTTGGTGATGACCAGACTCGTGAAAGTAGTAAGCAACAGACAAGTTCCTTAGACAAACACAAGTGGTACGACAATAACAAGAGGAATGGAAAAGGTCCCAACAAGAAGGGAAGGACGGAAATAGAGGCCTATATCCGTGACAAGAATCCACGACTTCTTTGTCCTAAATGTTAGAAACCTCAAAAGGGAGAATGCTTGGCAGGAAAATGTGTCAGTTACAAATGTGGCAAGCAAGGACACGTCGCAAAAGACTGCACTGAGGGACAACCTAAGGACTAAAGATCAAAAGGTGGGCAAGGCAAGGGTTTTTGCTTTAACACAGGAAGAGGCAGAGCTCGACTACAATGTAGTGGCAGGTATCATATCAATCTCTGACACCCCTGCTCTTATATTAATTGATTCAAGAGCTACACACTCGTTTATTTCTTCGATATTCATTTTAAAGTCAAATATAGAATGTGTACCCCTTGATAGCATATTAGAAGTATCATTACCATCTGGAAAAGGGCTCAATACAAATTATATAGCGAGGAACCTAAATCTAGAAACGGATGAGAAGATTATAAGAACAGACTTAGTGGTTCTAGATATGAAAGATTTTGATGTTATACTTGGGATGGACTGGTTGTCAAAAATTCATGCAACCATTCGTTGTTTCGAGAAGGATGTAATTTTTCAACGACCTGGTGAAGAAGAATTTCATTTCTTTGGAACAAGGGTAAAACCTCTACCCAGACTTATATCAGCAGTACAAGCTATACGCTTGTTGAAAAAGAAGTCAGCTCAAGGATTCTTAGTGTCATTGACCAGCACTGATAAGAAAGAGTTAACCATTGACGAAGTCCCAGTGGTTAAGAATTTTTCAGATGTATTTCCCGAAAATATACTAGGAATGCCTCCAAATCGAGAGGTAGAGTTCACTATTGACCTTGTACCGGGTGCCACGCCAATTTCAAAGGCCCCATATCGTATGGCACCAGTAAAACTTCAAGAATTGAAAGTATAATTGCAAGAGTTACTAGACAGGGGTTTTATTAGACCCAGTGTCTCACCATAGGGAGCTCCAATATTGTTCGTGAAGAAGAATGATGGATCGATGAGAATGTGTATCGATTATCGAGAGCTGAACCGTATTACAATTAAAAATAAATATCCCCTTCCTAGAATTGAAGATTTATTTGACCAGCTACAAGGTGCCAAGGTCTTCTCCAAAATTGATTTAAAATCAGGCTATCATCAATTGAAAATTAAATCAACTGATGTTCCTAAGACAGCATTTAGGACTTGATATAGATACTATGAGTTCTTTGTGATGCCTTTTGGCTTAACAAATGCGCCAGCAATCTTCATGGATCTCATGAATCTAATTTTCCACAACTATCTGGATCAGTTTGTTATCGTTTTCATTGATGACATACTAATATATTCAAAGAGTGAGCATGAACATACAGAACACCTAAGGATTATTCTCAAAATATTGAGGAAGGAAAAGCTCTCTGCTAAATTCAAAAAGTGTGAATTTTGGCTCAATAGAGTGGGATTTTCAGGCCACATAATTACAGCCCAAGGAATTGAAGTTAACCCGAGTAAAGTAAGCAATTACCAATTGGCCTCAACCAACAAATGTTAGAGAAGTGCGCAGCTTCTTAGGATTAGCAGGTTACTATAGGCAATTTATTGAAAGATTTTCAAAGATTGCCATCCCAATGACTCAGCTAACAAGGAAAAACGTGAAGTTTCAATGGACGGATATATGAAAAAGAGCTTTTAGGAACTAAAATAGAAATTGATTTTAGCTCCAGTTTTGACCATACCGAAATGGTCAAAAGGCTTCATTATCTATAGCGATGCATCTAAGCAGGGTCTAGGATGTGTACTTATGTAGCATGGTAAAGTTATCGCATATGCTTCTAGACAACTTAAGTTGTATGAAGAAAACTATCCGACACATGACTTGGAGTTAGCAACAGTAGTTCATGCACTGAAGATATGTAGACACTATCTCTATAGAGCTAAATGTGATATTTACACGGACCACAAGAGCCTAAAGTATTTCTTCACCCAAGAAGAATTGAACACAAGACAACGCAGATGACTAGAATTGGTGAAAGATTATGATTGTGCTATTCATTATCATCCAGGAAAGGCTAATGTAGTTGCTGATGCATTAAGTAGAAAGACAGTAGGACATTTGGCAGCTTTGCCTACTACACAGAAATCATTAATCAAAGATATCAATAACTTACAACTTGAGGTGATCTTACCTCTAGCAGATATTGTAGCACGAATTGCCATCCTCACAGTTCAACCAACTATTCAAGACAGAATTAAGAAAGCTCAGGATAGTGATCCATTTCTACAAAAGATTAAAGATGAAGTTGGCATTGGTAAACAAAAAGGTTTTTGAATTGGCTGAAGATAACGCATTGATGTTTCAAGGAAGATTGTGTGTACCAAAGGATAAGGAGATACGAAAAGAAATATTAGAAGAAGCTCACTTCGCCCCATATGCAGCACGTCCTAGGGGAACAAAGATGTATAAAGACCTTCAAAGCTCATTCTGGTGGCGAAATATGAAAAGAGAAATAGGTCTATTTGTAGAGAAGTGCATGGTTTGTCAGCAAATGAAAACAAAACATCAAAGACCATCAAGATTATTAAACCTACTAGATATTCCTGAATGGAAATAGGAGCACGTTGCTATAAATTTTGTAATTGGTTTTCCAAAATCAAATAGAGGAAATGATGCAATCTGGGTTATTATTGATAGATTGACAAAGTCAGCTCACTTCTTACCAGTAAAAATGACCTTTAATATGTATCAATTAGCTCAGCTATATGTTAAAGAAGTGATCAAATTACATGGGACCCCAGTCTCAATTGTGTCAGACAGAGATCCAAGATTCACTTCAAAATTTTGGAAAGGTATGTACAAGGCAATGGGGACTAAGCTAAACTTCAGTACAGCTTTTCTCCCACAGTCAGATGGTCAATCAGAGAGGACTATTCAAATTCTTGAAGACGTGCTTCGAGCATGTGTCCTAGATCTTGGAGGAACTTGGGAAAAACATCTACCATTAGTAGAATTTGCCTATAATAATAGCTATCAAACTACTATAAGAATGGCTTCTCACGAGGCTTTATTTGGTAGGATGTGCAGATCCCCAGCTCATTGGGATGAAGTTGGTGAGCGAAGAATTCTAGGGCCTGAGATTATTGAGCGAACAGTCCAAGCTATTGAAAAGATTCGTGCTAGAATAAAGACTGCCCAAGATCGACAGAAAAGTTATGCAGATAACAGAAGGAAGGATCTTGAGTTTGAGGCTGGTGACAAAGTTTTCCGAAAAATAGCTCCTATGAAAGGAGTTATTCGATTTGGCAAAAGGAAAAAGCTTCAACCAAGATACATAGGACCTTTTGAGGTTTTGAAGCATGTGGGGACTGTGGCTTATAAGCTGGCATTACCTCCCGAACTTTCAGCAGTACACAATGTCTTTTATGTCTCTATGCTTCAAAAATACATATCAGACCCTAGCCACATGATAAATCCTAAATCGTTAGACATTCACCCAGATCTAACTTATGAGGAAACTCCAATAGTCATCTTGGATAGGAAGTTTCAAACACTTCGAAATAGAAAAATTCCATTGGTAAAAGTTCAGTGGAGAAATCACGTAGTGAAAGAGTCTACTTGGGAACACGAGGCAGATGTTAAAACTAAATACCCCCAACTTTTCGATAACCAAGGTAAATTTCGAGAACGAAATTTTTTTAAGGAGGGAAGGATGTAATACCCTAAATAAATAAATCGTAAATATATTATGAGGCATAAAATGTATGAAATTAAATTTTAATATTATTTTGGATATATATTGAATTATTTGATAAAATGAAGCTTAAATAAATTAGTATTTTAACATATTTATACTAGAATCTTATCCTCATGTAATTAGGATTTTATGTGGTAAATTTTTTTGTTAAGAATCCTATTTGAATTCAAATTAAGATACTTTATTAGAAATCTAAATAGGTAACTCATCATAATCTAATGACCATTATTTAATAATCTTGAGCCTTGCACTTATTTCATACTAAATTACAGAAAGCAGAAAACGAGAGAGGATGAAAGTAGTAGATAGAGAAAGAACAGAGAGAAAGAGAGAGGCACAAGAGAAAACATAAAGAAGAAAGCAAAAAAAAAAAAAAAAAAAAAAAAAAAATTTTTCGAAGTGTTCAAAATCCGTTCGCAAGAATTTTCAATCTTAAATAGTTCAAGTATACAAGGAATTTATCGAATTGGTATGGATTTCTCTAAATGCCCAGTGACTTTTTGTTTTCACTTTTTAATGTTTTAAGCTGAGTGTTTTATGTGCTACTATGTGATTCAAAGTAAAGAAAAATATTATGGAAAATACCATAGGGTATTATCATGTAGATTTACAAGGAAATCAGCTACATGGCTAAATACCCTAAGTGGAGAATGAGAATGGATTTGACCTAAGTGAGAATGAGACGATAAAGTTTATATCCCATTAGAAAGTTATGTTATGTGCGTATTTTACTTACTTTTTATATCAAACTGTGAAAATACTGGCATGAAATCTATACTGAGTATATTCATATACTCACTCCATATTCTAAATTATTTTTACAGATACTTGGTAGATCGGAGTTGGAAGTTGAGACTGTTGATAGAGTCCGTGTTGTTGGATCAAGAATTTAAGATTTTTCTTTTCATATTTAGTATTTAGTTAGAAAATATTTTTTTATTCAAATTAGAATTTTATTTTTAAATCAATGTTGAATTTTAAAAAAATAAGCACTGGATTCATAGTACGACAATGAATTAGATTAATTGATATTTTATGAGACAATAAAATAACTTGTTTTTATTCCGGAAAGTTTTCTCCAAATTTTTCGTATCATAATATGTCAACTAATTTTTATAGTAGTTAAAGTGATAAATTGATTAACCTCCGGAGCATAGGTTTCGAGGCGTTACATTGGCTGTATAAAAAATACCCATCTATATTGTGAGTGCCTGTAGGAGGCTCGGTAAACCTCAAGTATCACTCTTAGGCCCCGTTTGAGAGGAATTTTTCACTCCAAAAAATTGATTTTTTGACCGTTATTTCACTATTTCAGCCGTAATTTTTGATTTTTTCTCTTACGGGTAGCCCTTACTTTTCTCATAACGATCAAAAATTCAATTCTCAAAATCACTATCAGACGGGCATTAATTCAATCACTTGAAAAGTGGAATTAACGCTAAGGATTAATGGACTGGTAGACCATACCATAACTTGCAAAACGTTATATATCAATGATTCCATCGACAGCCTGGTTTGGTGACATGAATTGCATTTTTGGGCAGGGATTAATTTATTTGTATAATGTTAGTTAACAATATTAGATTAAAATGTCGTAGGTGATAAATAAAACTATTAATTGAAAAAATAAGTAGTTTTTAAATTGTTCAATGATAATATGCCACGTTTTATGTTATCAATAATGTTGTCAATCAACATTGTACACCAAACATGATTCAGTAGACAATGTATTATATATATGGCTAATGTTTATAATTTTATTTTCTTTAAATTCAAATTATTTTGCATTCACATGTTTCAAGAGATTCATAAGCACTATCACATATTTAATTTTAATTTTATCTATTTATAATGTAAATCGTATATAAATACTTCTTAAATATATTAGTGTCATGCTTAGTATGGCTAAATTAGATAATTCAAAACTTTAATTACATATTTATTTTTGATTTAATCATATTTAGTTCAACATATCAAACATATCTTTATGCTATTAAGAACTTAGGGGCGTTTGATTGAAAAAGGTGTCATGAAAAATGGCATTTTTCCATCAAAATTCATTTTTTGGAATGTTTGATTGACCTTTTTTTTTTATGAAAAATGTTTTTCAACAATTAAAAATATGTCTAGTTTTCTTTGTTTTTGAGTAAAACACTTTCTTGGTTGGGTAAGTTTT